ACAATAAGGCTTTCAAATAAGTCATGGCTGTAGGGCAGCGAAGCATCGGTGTTGAACACTGATGTCATGCTGTCGATGATGATGATGAATGAAGGAAACTATCGGGAACAACAGTTCATGTGAGCCATCAGTTTGATTTACTTGATAGATCACAGACTAAATCCATCCAGCGAAACACACTCACTTGCGCACCAATTTGGTTTTGACGGGATTTGATTCACATGGAACCCAACCGAATCTCTCGTTTATGATGCTTTTGAGTAGTGTATCACGTACAGTACATACAAACACGTGGTCCATCTGGATGGTAATGCTATTCACAGACACCTCCCAATGGGTCGATTGCCATTGCCCGTGACAATTCCATCTTCGGTAACTGAAAGTAGAGGGAATTTAGACGTCACTAAAGATTTCCCATTTTACGCATGTCATCAGCACCACTCGGATCGTCCGTTGCGTCAAAAAATAATACAATACAGCATAGTACATCAAGTTCTTGTGGAGCATCCGTTAACGACCACAAACGAACTACTCACTGTGCCACCGAGTCCACTTGAACCGTAATTGGATCACAGAATTGACTGGTTTGAAATCCTGCGTCCGGGCAAACGATATTCAAATTATATCCCCACTCTCAGCGAACTAGTCTTTGCTTGTTTGTACCACAATACATTGTGGCGCTCAACTCAGGTTGGAAGTGAAAAGGTACCTATTGTGTCGGTTGGTTGTGTTTTGTCGTTTGGAGTCTTGACTGACCGAACAACCAGAAGGGATCTGGCAACAATTATCCCGTCAGGTGATTAACTGTGGGAATTTGCATCTTCTTGATTGTTCCGTGGGTAATTTAATCCTACTGTACTAGGCCTGAGAATGAACAGCTTGGGGATAGGTCTTTGACAGGAAACGTCATTTTGATTTGTCAATGAACGCGTTATAACCACAATTATTTTTCGAAGCCAGTGAGATGGTGCTTCTAATGAACGCCAAGCAAAGTACAGTTTGCAAGCTGTCGCGACCATACTAGTTTGAGCAGGGACAATGCGAAGGTCATGAGAGGAGTATAACTTCTGCACCAAGGCCAGCTAAAGTCGATGTGATGAGACTACTCCCTTAGAAGACCATTTGTTACAGTCAACTAAGGCTGGGTAAAATAGGACCAGCCACCCCAGGAAGATACAAATAGAAACCACTTATGGCTAGAGGTGTGGACACCCAGACTAACTGAGACCACCACAAAGCGCAACAGAAGTGCAGTCGGCTGAACGAAGTGTCTGGACGATGAGGGTACACAAACGGGTACATTGCGAATGGTGCGAAAACGAAAAATAAGCGATAAATGTTGGGAAAAAGACTGGACAACTGTCCAGGACAAGGAACGGTTGGCGTTGAAACCGTACACATATAAAACGCAAGCTACTGGCAGAAACAGCGCAGTTAGTGTACAAAATGATGTATGAAATTAGAAAACAAAGGAAATAGTACGGATACTTTGAGGTAGAAGCAGAAACCTGTCAGTTTCGACCTATCTGTGAGACGAACGGATGACGCCTTGGAAGTTCTTGTTGTAGTGTGCCGTCCGATAAGACACCGGAGGGGAACAGAGTGGATGCAGTGTCGTTATAGGCGAACGTGTTAGACTGAGTATCGATACTGGAATTAGGTAGGAATGCGGGCTGACCCATTAGTGGATGCAGCGGATACTCGTCCGAACCACCTGCCTCGGCCGTGGGCTTTTGGAAGCGACGCATTTGGTTGATATCTGATGAGAAGTCCAACCTAACCGCAGAGCTGGACAGACAGGCCGTGAAACAATTCTGTGAAGAAAACAGAGAGATTCGAATTGAGCCCAAAAGGAAGATCCGAAACTAGTAACCACAAATGTAAAGAGCAGACGGATTACAGTTCATTGATGGAAACCGACTTCTGAGATAAAAAACTCGTGATACGGGATACTTTCTAACTAAACGGGTACCTGAGCGATCAGATCCACCCTTGAAAAAAAGCAGGGGAACATTGTATAGCTAGTTTCTTTTTAAGAATTACAAGAGATACACGTCTGACGAGGTTGTCTTGTACCACATCCAATAATTCCCACATAATGTGCCCGATTGACTGTCGTCGAGTGGGGCAGATTTGATCCTATTAGATACAGTCCTAACGATGCAGGTTCAAGAGGAGGAGAATGACTGTATAAACCGGAGTTAGGTCAAACTAAAATGGCATGAACACTACCTTCACTAGACGATTGTTGCGAAAGACAAACAATCGAGGAATGTCACTAGTATGGCTAGTTTACATGACTGTTTAACAATGCACATGATAGACATTAGGGCCGTACGTCTCGCGCCTGTGAGACGGAAACCATCAGGAATTTATAATCGAAATATATAGGAGTCGACATTACTAACTATAGTGCGCAGAGTATATCCACGATAACTTTGGTAGAGTTGATCGCTGCGCCATTGAAGCGCTGGTTCCGGAAAATATACTGCAACAGGTTTGTTCGGGCCGCATGTTGAGAGGGAAGGAAGTACTTATGGAGAAGTGGTTTCCATCAGGCTGCCCAAAGGTTTGTTAAGTGGAGTTCAACACCGATACCGCTTTACCGTTCCGAGTTAGATGGCGCATTGGCCAAGAGGCCTAGCCGCATGCGATTGGCCAAAACATCGATCCGCTTGCCGCTTCAGCATCAATCCGAGCTTTGACTAGCTGGACGAAAACAACCAATCGTGATATAGTATCCGCAGATTGCCGGTTGTCAATGGCGCATCCGGAAAGCGCCAGAATTTCCACCACGTCGCCGCAAACGCTTTCATTAAGACGTGCAACAGAGGGCTTTTGTTGTGGGCGGTAATACACATTGTGCACATGTGGTGGTTGTTTTGACGGGAATGATAGCTTGAAAAGTTCCGACCGAGAACTAAGCTGAGAAAATGGCGTTATTATAATTGGCGATGGGGATCGAAAACCATGATGTCCATCAGATTTAATCAGCTCAGTGAATCGCTGCAGCGGCAGCAAATGTAGTTTGAAAAATCACAACTAAAGCTCATTGAACCACTGACTCAGAATGAATGTTCAAACACCAGCAGTCAGCACTACTGACTCTTCTGTTTCTTCAACTGATGCGGCCGCGGTCCGAGGCAAGTTCCTCACATTCGACCCTCTTCTGGGTACACCTTTGACTTCTGGTTCAAGCGGTACGAGGACATGTTCAAAACTAATTATTTTCACGACCGACGACGGATGGGAAGTCAGGTTATGGCTGCAGAAACGCAGAAAATCGGAGCACGAGCGGTACACAAAACTCACCCTCCCTCAGTCGCCCCATGTTCCAAAGAAATCCAAGAGCAAACCCCTCCCCACAAGTTGCGAGTACTGCGGTGAGTGACTTTTCGCTCGTTATTGCCGGTTTAGGCGTCACACATCCCGGGTACAATCGTTAGTTCTGCGAAGATTCATCTACCCCAGATGCTGTAGCCACCATGCAGCTCACAAATCGCGGTCCAACTCGGTGGCGGGAACATTCAAAGTTGATTCTGCCTGCCGAAAAAGGCTTGTGACGGTTCGTATCAACAACATCCCAGGTCGTTTGCAGCTCGATACGGGCTCCGACATCACGCTGCTCAGTGAACAAACGAATCGGTATGCCGCATATGGAACTGACTGAACGCTGCGCCCGCAAGGCTCCCATTGGTAAGGCGAAATCCACTGGCGAGGATGATTACTACATAGGCTTCAATGGCTCGACGGCACAAGCAGCGTGTTACCTGACGTCACTCCCCAAACTTGATCTCATGGGGCTGGGTTGGACCGATAAGCTGAGTCTGCTGGAGAACCTGGGTAAACCTATATTCAACCTCACGCACGCAGCACCCGGATATGCGCTCGAATAAACACGCTTTCGGAAGCGCTCATCTGAGGATATCCTGCAACGCTCTGTATCTGTATTGGCCGACGGGCCAGACTGGGCTTCCGCCCCGATGCCAGGCCAGTTTTCAGACTCACTTTCCAGTAGCGCACGCAGCCTTGCCCATCGTTGACAGGGAACTGGACCAACTACGGAAAGCTGTTGTTCTCTAACCGACTAATTGCTCTGCGAGTGCCGCACTAATCGTATTAGTGCGGAATGCTAACGAGATCACCAAATTCTGTGCAGACTTCTCCACCGGTCTCAGTGCTGCACTGGATATCCATCAGTAGCCTCTGCCTCGTTCAAAGGACTTGTTCGCGAAACTGAATGTGGGTAAATGTTTTGCGAAGATTGACTTGACCAATGCTTATCTCTAGATTGAAGTTGAAGAAGAATCCCGAGGACTTTGGCCCATCAATACTCACTGTCTGTTCCAGTCTACCCGAATGCTATTCGGTTTCAAGACAGTGTCAGCTATTTTTCAACGGATCGTAGGTACGATGCTGAAGGACGTGCCCGTCGTTGTCTCCTATTTGGACGATCTCACCGTCATGGGTTCCAGCCTCGATGAATTGCAACAGCAACTTGATTACGCGCTTGGTCGTACTCAGGAGTATGGCTTCAGACTGTGTCATGAGTATCTTGGGTTCATTATTGACGAACACGGCCGCCGGTCAGACCCGGAGAACGTCGATGCTATAAAACGTATGCCGACACACATGCGTGACATCCCTCAGGTACTTCCTCAGCCTCGTCAATTACTACAGCTCATTTCTGCCTACTGTGCATTGGCTCCAAGGACCGCTAAACCAGCTGCTCACAAAGGAGCACAAGTGGTTATGGTCAGAAGAATGCCAACGAGCCTTTGGCACCGTCACATTCCTACTGAGTTCCGATTTGCATCTCACCCACTACGATCGTCACTGAAAATTGTTGTGGCGTCGGATGCCTCGAACTACGCCAATTTTGCAATGACGGCAACCAGACAGCCGTTGCACATGCAGCCAGGTCACTAACACTAGCCGAGCGCAAAGCTTTGGAGATCGTGTCTGACACCAGAAAGTTCCAAAAAATGCACTACGACCGTCAGTTTACATAACTAACCAACCACAAGCCGCTCATTACTGTGTCGGGTTAGAAGGGGATCCAGGTATATATCACCAACCATATCCAGCGATGAGCGACTTTGTTTCTGGGATACGACTTCAATATCAAGTACCAGTCGACCACTATTCTGGGACAATCCGACGCACTGATTCACTGATTCAAGAAGAATAGAACCAGAGCACATTGTATTCGGAAAATTTACCTTAGGACCGGAGGTAAACCGCGTAGTATCGGAAGCAGTTCGCAGTGTCCCAGTGTCTGCTGACATGGTAAGCCAGGCTATCGACAAAAACCATGTGATGCAGCAGTTCATCAATCAGTGACAGTGTACCTGTTTTCAAGATGAATTAAGACCACAATTCAACCGGCGTGACCCCGACGGATGCCTTTTATTTTTAGGACGTGTTGTCGTTCCACAGGGGTTACAACCAACCGTCCTGAATCAGTTTCATAAGGGCCACTCGGGAACAGACCAGGTGAAGGCCCTTGCTGATTTACGTCTGCTGGCCTCTGATAGACTTACACATAGACATCGGCTATGCACGTCCATTTGGCGGCCAGCACTACTCGGTGGTGATCGACGCTTGCATCAAGTGGCCAGATATTCTTCCAATGAACAGCCGCATAACTGCCACTTCAGCGCTGGAGCTCCTACGACTGGTTAATCGCTTTGGTATGTCAGAGACTATTGTATCCGACAGTGGCAGCCAGTGCACGCCTTCGGCGTTCGCAGAATTTTGTAAATAGAATGGTGTAACTCATGTCCGATCACCGCCTTTTCATGCACATTCAAACGGTCAGACGGAAAGCTTCGCTTGACACCCTGAAGCGTACACTTCGGAAGTTCAGAGATGATGGACGGATGGAAAGGATTTTGCAAAGGTTCTTGCTGACATCTCGAGAGATGGTTAACCCCAAATCGCCTGATGGAGTGTCACCATCTGCTCCGCATGTCCCTATCTGGCCACGGAAAATGCAATTGAATCGCTGCAACAGGAGGATGGAGGACCAATCCAATCGGCATCACGCACGATCGCACGCTCCTTCAGCGAGGGTCAGACGGATGTAGGTTCGCGACTGCAGCGGCAGACACCCAAAGTGGATTCCAGGACACATCGTTCGCCGGCATGGCAAGGTGCTTTACGACATTCAAGTTGGCCCAGCCAGGTGGATCTGGCACATAAACAAAGTCCGGCTAAAAAAAGCACAGATCCTGCTTACAGGATCAAGTGAGTTGTGTCTAGAGATGCTTCTGGACACTGGTGATCACTGCACCATTGCGGAAAACCATGAGCTGCTCCGTCGGAGATTCGAGCCCCAGCACGGATTACGACCGCTGTGCCGGACAGACAGGATTCGCAAGCCAGTGAGATCACCGCAAGTATACACCCCGACTTCGAAACAGCGCCAACAAACTTCAAGAGGGAGGTGTTGGGCGGAATCAGTGGGAATCCCGCTTTACCACTCGCAGTTAGGCGCTACTAGGCCCGAGAAGCCTGTCCCACACAAAACTGGTCAAGAGATCGGGTCGCTTGCCAGTCCAGCATCCAGGCGAGCCCTGGTAGGCTGAAAACCTGGACCAAAGCCGGATCAGAGAGGACTCCATCCACAGAGTTTCACAACGCGTCGGACGTCCGGATACTGCCTCATGTAGTGTTCCAACCCTTTGATTTCCACAGGCTGCCCAATATCTGCGCGTCGTAACAGTATCATAAGAAGAAAGGCTGGCTCAATCGGACAAGGATCTTCGGTCAAAGGTTAGTGCTCATTGCAGATTCATCTGTCGACGTAAAGTTAATTGGAAGCAAACACTTGGAACAAGACTTCTTGAAACAAAAAGAAAAAAATGTCATCGACAATGGTGCAGGAAAACATTCCGAAGCGACGACTAGACTCTTAGCCCATAACAGTGTATGTGGAGGCCCTCGTTAATCAGAGGAACCATTATTCTTCTGAAGCTAAATAAAATCTATGTACCCGCAATATAAATTACCATTGAATGGGTTGGTGAAAACTCACCGCAGGATTCATTTGGGCCTCACATAAGCACTAACTGAATTTCAGAAAAGTATCTAACTCCAAGCAATTTTCGTGCAATATATATATATATATATATATATATATATGGGCGTTCAAAAGCCATTAACCGGGTGCCTCATGCATCCCTGCTGAGGAAACGCAGTTCTGTTAGCATTGCTGGACCCTTACTTCAGTGGTTGCTCTCCTACCTATCTGAAAGTGCACAGATAACACAAATTGGTGACAAACAATCCTCCTCACTATCGACCATCAGTAGAAGCATTCAAAAGAGTATGCTAGGCCTCATCCTATTTTGAGTGTACAGCAAAGACGTCTTCGACGCCATGTATCATGCCAGACCTTCCTTTTTGCGAACGGCATGAAAATTGCTCAGACACCTCCTTCAGTTGCTAAAACACCTGATTTTTGCCATATCCAACATGACTCACTCTCCGACTCGTTGGTTAGGTGCCTGTTGCTCAAGCTTATCTTCTCGCGAGTCCCTATCGCCTCCTGCCACTGCACCGTCTTAGTCGCTACGTTCACAATTAACGGGAAATTTGTCACTTAGTATA